GATGCTAAACAGAGAAGCGAAAAGTGGAGAAAGCTAGGAGTCCAGATTGGTGGAGGAAGCAGCGCCGATGAAGTAGGAGAGCCTCTTTCTCTTATCACCGCTTAATGCCCAATTTTCTTTGCTTTTCATCCGGGTAAAATGAAAAATCCGTCTCAAAAAATTCAATGCTTAGAAGTCAGAACAGCCAGCATCTGGCCGATTCTTGAGTGTTTTCTAGTTCCAAACATTTATTCGCTTTTCATGCGTTTTTGCCGTGCAGCATTAGAGTACTGCAACAGGCAGCAAAGACGCATATTGCAACGACCCTGTCAGTGTGTGTATTCGTCTGTCCGGGTATTTCAACTTGCCAACCACGCAAGCTTTGAAAATGAAGTTTTGCCAGTGTGTTCCCCAGCCAAGTGCCACCCCAGAACCGCAGTAACAACCCTCACGCACGTCTAGGCCCCGCGTACAACCATGTGAAAGTTTTGGCGGGAAAATTGCTAACTCGGGAGCGAGAAAAGCTAGAAAATTGAAATCTTACGGGGATGTTCCCTACCCATCTGTGACAAAAAGATTTCAAATTCAGCTGCCCAGGACTACCCGGAACTTACGTACGGGCATGTGAAAATTATGGCGGGAAAATTCGTAACTTGGAAACGGAAAAAGCTAGAAAGTTGGAACTTTGGGAGAATGTTCCCTACTCACGTACGACCACAAGTTTCCAAACTCAGTTCCTTAGATCCGCCCGGAGCTCACGTACGGGCACATGAAAATCTTGGCGGGGAAAGTGCTAACTCGGGAAAGAGAAAAGCTAGAAACATGAAATTTTAGGGGAATATTCTCTGCCCATGCATAACTAAAAGATTTCAAAACCAATTGCCTAGGACTGCCTGGTCCGGGAACGAGAAAATCTAGAAAGCTGAAACTTTGAGGGACTGCACCCCATTGATGTACGACCAAAATCAGGTGTTTAGAAGAGCCCAGGGCCACGTACAGGCATATGGAAATTTTGGCGGGAAAATCACTAGTCCGGCAACGAGAAAATCTAGAAAGCCCAAACTTTCTGCTCCCCATTGATATACGACCAAAAGATTTCAAATTCAGCCGCTTAGAACTGTCCGATGCTCAAGTACGGACACGTGAAAATTTTGATGGGAAAACTGCTAACTCAGAAACGAGAAAAGCTGGAAGGCTTTAATTTTAAGAGAATGTTCCCTACTTATGTGCGATTAACAGATTACAAATTTAACTCTTCTAGTGCAGCCTTTTTTGCGGGCCAGCAACTTTCCAATTGTCGGGTCACTGAAGCCGACATTTACAACTGACATGCCACATAGCTGCACAATTAACTTCCCGAAATTCGAGGACCAGTATGTCACAGGGCTAGCTACTACGATTCCTTGCGATCTTGCTACGGCACGAAATGTGCAAAAACGCGTGATCGCACCGGCCCGCCTGGTGCGTTCCAGCCTGGGTTGCATATATTATAACCGGGTATTTCAATTCAATAACCAAGCAAGCTCCGGCGCCAAAATTTCGCCATGTGCCAACCCAGGACCGCGGTAGCAATCCCCACGTACGTTTGGGCGCTGCATGCGAGCGCACGAAAGTTTTGGAGGGGAAAATCGCTAACCCGGGAACGAGAAGAACTAGAAAGCTGAAATTTTGAGGCTGTGTCTCCCGTCCACATAGAATTCAAAGATTTCAAATTCGGTTCCCAGGTTTGCGTGGTTCCCACGTTGCCCGTGAAAATTTTTGGTGGGAAAACTGCTAAGTCGGGAACTGGGAAAGCCAAAGTTTTTAGGGAATGTCCCTGTCCAGGTACCACACAGTTGCACACTTCCCGAACTTCGTGGACCAGTAGGTCACAAATTCTAGCTACTGGGGTTCCAAACAATCTTACTGCAGCACGAAATGCTGCAAAAACGCATTATCGCAGGGGTCCGCCTGGTGAACGTCGCCAGTGATTTAATTTGGCACCTCATTATCGCTTTACATCAGTTCCTCAAACTTTTACTCTTTCCATATGTGTCTGGATAACTTCGGGTTTTTACCGACCACCTTCGAGGTCACAGGTAAGTTTTCAGACGTTTTTGCATTTCTTAACTGTCTCAACCCCGCACCCTAACCAATACTGCGACTTGGTAGCAGTCATCTTTAAAATCTCGAGATCTGAATATACCATTTTGCCGTGGTTCGTCTAAGATGACCATCAAATACAGCCATCTTCTGTATTTTTCACTCATTAAACAGGTTGCACTGCACACGTCTCGAAGAACGCGCAACGAAAATACGGAAGAAACGCTTTATAGTGAATGTCTTTCACAGCTGAAGAATTGGCGAGTTTCCCTCATACGTTTAGTGACTATTAGAATTCATTCACTCGCACGTTTCCACGAAAAAGCACATCGGCAAGCATGGAGAAAACAGATTTGTCAGAGCTTTCGGCTCCAGGAGTCGTACGCGCTGTACAAGCGTGCGCGACAGCTGAATTTGAAATCTTTAGTTCGCACATACACAGAGAATATCCCTGCAAATTTTCAGCTTTGTACCTTGCCTGGTTCGCAAAATCGTTTCCCACCAAAGAAATCTGCATTTTTTCGGGGGTCTGTACGCGGGGTCTAGGATTTTAAAACGGGAGGGTGATACACGGAGTATGAACATATATCCAAAATTTCAGTCTCCCAGTTTCCTTGGTTGCTGAGATGAAAGTAGGTGAGAAAATGCATAGTTATGGATTCAACTGGTTCATATTCTAGTACATATCTGTCTGATTCTGTATGTGGCTTTTTATTTTGTTTCTTTCGGTATGGCATGTAAAGTTATGGACTCCTTATTTTACCAAACGGATTCATTTTCGCGTGAGCGTTGCTACCGCATGAAACTGCATTGATGAAAGGATTATGGAAGTGGGGGAAAACGCGTTTTTATTAATTCATCACTTCACACAGTTCATACTACCTCAAATTTATCGAAGCTCAAATTATCCAACTGTTCTGGCACCCAAATGAACAAATATGAGTCAGTACTGAACAGGAGAAATCTAGTGAGAACCACTGGAGGTGAGGAAAATAAACAAAGATCAAATGCGTTTTAAACCAGGAAAACGAAAAAAAATATCAAAGAGTTCATAAACAACATCGTACTTCTGATTATTTTTTGAATGAACAATTTTTCACATGACGCTAGCAATACAGGAAGCAAAGAATGAAATACTAGTGGACGAATACTTATTAGAAATGACATATATAACAGGCAGAACTGACCGATTCTTAGACACTGGTAACTGAAGTCAGAAATCAAAAGCAACAATTCTGGATGAACGAACGAAGAAATTGAACAGTGGGCAAAAACAAGTAGTGAGTGCACAATACAAGACAGAAATAGTTATGTTATATTACCGAAGCATGAGCAACAAATGCGGAGCTGGTTTAAATGAACAATTTATAAAACAGGAAAACAACAGAATTTTCTCATAATGTAAATTTTTTACAAAAAATTAACAGTAAGGAACAATGGAAAGAAATATTTCAAAACTGGATGAAACCCGCAGATATTTTTACCGTCAATGACAACTTCAAAACCGGAAAACAACAATACCGCCACTAAGAAAGTCATTAAAAAGGCTAAAAAATTAAAAATTAGGACCAGTTCATATGTGCACAGTGAACTATTCTTAACATTTGTTGATACATTTACTTACTTGGACCAAAGCAGCTAGAGTGCTGAAATGTTCTGAGCATAGCCCACGACCACGTTCGGCTAGGTGTGCATAAAAATAATATTCACATTTCCTCCTTGCTTACGAACACATGAAATGTGATGTAACTATCTGCATCCATACTGATTACCTGTATGAAATACAAATGGAATTTTCTACTAAGGTGAATTTAGCGCATCCGAGATGTGGAAATGTTATTTCGTGCTGATTTCTCGAAATTTTAAATACAAGAGATCGGAAAAACTCTAACACTGGTGGCAGTCCTTTCATAAATCCCATCTTCCAAGCTCTATAAACAGGCCACAAATCGTGCATTTATCGTCCTTTTTTTTACATCTGCTATTTGTTATGAAAATCTACGCCCGCACATCCTCCGCCTTCCACTTCCTTAAATGAAACATGACGTCTTTAAATTCAAAAGAACTGCCGCAAGTCCCATGTACCATGCACCTACTCCCATGAATTTAGAGACCGACGGAGAAGAAATCTACAACTTCAGCTCTATGTTCACTTCCGTTAAAGATAGAGTGGCAGTGACAGGAAAGTTTACCGATGCGACATGAGGAAAACAGAGTAAAGACGAATAGGGGATGCGTTGCATGTAAACCAGATCGAAGTCGAGCGATCCGATTTCGTCCATAGACTATCACAGGTGGCGTGAGCTAAGAGGAAATCGACACCTTACCTGTTTTGGCCAAGAGCGAATAAGAAAAAAAAATTGCACGCGGAAAATCTATTAAAGGGTGTGAAATGGAAGCCAGAGAATTTCAAAAGGCTTTCCTCACTATACTGATTCAACGTTTTATGCGCATGGAACCTAGGAGCTAATAAAGGCAGAGATATAAGCGTTGGCACTGTTGGAGGGAACCAGTTTAGCAGAGGATCTGTAAGAACTCTCTTTCTTTCCTAATCATGTCAAAAATAAAGCAAGCAGTACTCTCTTTTGTACTGTACAAGATGGCAAGTTGAACAAGAAAGAAAGCAAAATCCACTGACAAAAAACTTCCTCACCTTGTTGCCACCAGTGGAGCAGAAGCAGTATCCGCAAAACAATTCAGACGCGCAGCATTCAAGAAATGATGTACGTAAGTGTTAAAGCCGAAGATTCAACCGAAGTCAAGCAGGTCAGAAGCGTGCTACTGCATCACAAGCAAAGTGAACTTGGTCGGATAAAAGAGAATTTTCCTTACTCGGCAAATTCCTCTCCTTGCGAACTAGATTCTTGGGCTAACTTTGAGAACAGAGAAAAGAAAATACTTAGAGTGGATACACTATAACTAATCAGTTTTCGAAATGACTACGGAAAATCAACAACAATATATTTTTCACGAGTTTTATAGGACGGATAGAGGCCTGTGCGTCCGGTCCGTCGATTCTTACCCTTCGAGAAGCCATCCCAGTGATTACCAGCGATCCCGATTACATCTCCCTTTTCTAAATCAATTTCATCGTCGTTTTCAGCACGATATGACTCCACTGCAACTTGCTCATGAGCTGAAATATACATTTCTCGATAACGTTGAAAAGCAAATTCCTAAAAATAATTACTTGTAAGGCAGAACACATCGTTTTCATTTGATTTCAAAATTACTGTGCATTTAGCATCCTTCATTTCTTCTGCACCTATCACGCATCACTTACCCTGTTGACCGCCGTAATAGTAGATATCATCCAGAGAATGGAATCGATCACCAGCGTCGCCAATACGGACTTGCATCAACTCGTACCCAAGACGACAAACTTGCGAACTAAACGTACAGACGAGATACGCACATCTAAACATATTTAATAAATCTATGGAAGAAAACAACAAAATGCTCAATATTTTAAATACTTGCGCAAGATCAGGCCTAGCCCACGGCACTTGCCTTATAAGAACCTCCAATAACCGATTTTAAATGTATTCAACGGACATTTACCACTTTATTAAACCAGGTGAAGCCACATGGCGTCGCCGCTTTCTATGGTGGGTTTAAATATTTTTAGGTCTAAAGTTCACAGGCCCTAGAAATTTCTGCGCAAAGTAACTTATCACACATCTCCCACACGTGACAACAATAGTGAAGAGACGTGGGAACGTCGCTGACAGATGAGCTGAAAGAAAAGAAGGAATGTAATACATTTACTACTTCGGTTAGTACTCAG